TGTGGGAAACGAGATGCTCCTAGCAACGTCCTTTCGACCGTGCGTTCGATAACACTGAGTGACCTTCCAACCTGCTTACGCAGTGACCAGGTTTTTGACGCATACGTTAGGGCAAGAAGTACCGTTGAGTCGAAAAGGTGGGCACGAAGTCGGGTGTTTTTCGTTCTCTTCACTACATCCTCGATACTCTTAAAAGCTTTTCAAGCTGGGAGAATGGGGCATACGAAACCCATCCGTTCTTCATGAACATCGTTTTTGTGAGATTTAGTCGGAGACCAATCTTTCCACAGGCTTTATCAAAGATGACAAGCATTAGTTCCGCTTGGCTAATGTTTGGTTTTTTAAGGGTGATGTCATCAGCATAGCGAAGATAGTGTAATTTCCGACCGTTGTCCCATTCTAATATTGGCATGACGTTCTCGAGTGTGGTGGCGAATAATTCCGCGAGATGGTGTCGCCCCGCTCCCCGCTCTTTTGACATCAATGATAATATCGTTGTAGGATTATGGTATCTTGGTTGTGAAATTTTTGTACAGCTCACGAAGAATCTTTATTAACTGAGTAGGGACTACTTGACTATCAAGGGCTTCCATGAATGATATCTCAGTTGCTGACCCAAAGACCTTCCTTAAATCGATGAAACTGAGACAGAGCGCTCGTTTGTACTCTCGCTATACCAATGAGTCTTGTCTTTTTCGAAGCTCTGCTAGCTCACATGGCTATTCTTTGTCCAGTGTTCTGTCAATCCTGCTTAAGATGACTTAGTTGAAATGTATGCAGACGACAAACAGCAAGCAGACTGGGCGATAGTTGTCGATGTCGTGTAGGGCGCATTTCTCGAACAATAACGCGGTCTTGCTGGTCTTCCACTGAGCAGGGACTTTGCATTCAGGCAGGTGACGTGTTGGGAGCCGAGCCACTGTGTTTACGTGAACAGGCAGAAGATTCTTTAGGTGTTCTGATCTTATCCCTGTTCGGACCTGGTGTTGTTCGATTTTTCATCAACGAAGTGGCACATCGGATTTCGAAAGGGAGAACCGGTGGTGCTACATACCTATCCTCCTTTATTTCATAGGAAGGAAGGAGGACTGGCTATTGAAGAAACCTGAGTAGTATTCGTCTATGATTTTCTGCATTGCCCTCCTCGACTCTGTTACTGTTCCGTTTGGGTGTCAGAAAGGGTTTGGGTGTGGTGTATTCATTCGGGTGTGTTTGTTTGATGTTGAAGTGTGCACTCATCTCGGTTTTGTAATTGGCGAAGCTTCGGTGGGCTCTGCGAATGCTTTACCCAGCCTCTGCAATTTCGACCATAACTGCTGCTCTTCTCTCTTTAAGATCTTCTTTTATCGCCTATCTGCATTGTTTTGCAAGTTCGGGAGTTAGATCGCGGTTGCCTGCAGCTTGTGCGATTCCATGCTGCCGTACCAGCTGGAGTGTTTCTGGAGACAAACGTCTCTTGGTGACTTTCGAACACAGCTTTCCTAGCGCCAACGTGAAGATGTTGAATTAGCCATCGTATTCCTCGTCAATGTTATCGACAACGGCATTTTCTCAGCAGCCGACCAATGAGTTGAATACGTTTCAGCTCATAGTGGTTTTGGGGCTTGGTTTTTTGAATTTAGAGGCTTCTTCTCTTTACGAGAAATGGAATTTTGCACGATGCAGGCGGTGGTCTGACCCCGTGTAGAATTTTGGGACAACAGCGACATCGGGTAGGCAAAACCTTCGGCTTGCTGTGATCTGGTCTATTTCATTGTGATACTCTCCACTGGGAGATTCCCACGTCCAGCGTTGAAGGTAGGCCTTCTGGAATTGCGAGTTACCATGGATAGTCTTGATAAACTCAGCGAGCCGCTCACCTTGTTCGTTCCGTTTTAATCCGTGGGTCCCACTGCGACGTGCTTCCGCCGCTTGTCCAATCTTGGCATAAAGATCTCTAACGATGACCTAGAAGAATGTGTTGTCTTTTCTGTAGAGCTTCTCCAAGTCCTTAAAGAACGCTTCGACTTCTTCTTCATAGCTCGACGTCGGCGCGTGAACGACGAAGATTGTCAAAGCTGGTATTGATCCACATCTTTTTAGTCGGAACCGTTCGATGCGGGTTGTATGTTGTTCGAATCAATTGTTGTTCACGGACAAACTCGTGTTGACGAGAATGCCGATGCTGCCTACTCCTCTATTGTCGCATGTCCCGAGGAACAGTTCTTCTCCGGTGTCATAAATGACGTTAGAAGGGCGGCGTCGTCTTGTCTCGACCAGGCCGATCACGTCGTAGCTTATGCTTATGCTTGTATGAGCAAGTCTTCTATCGTGGACTCGGATGCAAGTGTAAGTGCATTATAAGTACAGATTGTCACCTCAGTTTTTGCAATGCAGGCAGCTTCCATTTGCCCTGAGATTTTGGCAGCCTCTCCGTATTCGTCCTACCCAACTTTTGAATTGGTGGCCTTTTCGGGCTCAGGAAATGAGATCCGTTTCTTTTACTATTTTTAGCTTTTTGATACCCACGTATAGTTTGCTGGGCTTTGAACGTGGGGGCTCGGTGTAATGACGGGTAGCTTTCCAGGCTCTCCCAGGGTTGACATGGAGCTTATTTGTTGGAGGCGACTCCTAACTGCTTCCCATATACTTCCCAGTCACTTGATTGCAGTGCTTTTGGCCGAATTGACTCGTAGAGTACAATCATAAGCAACAACGCATCCACACACGCATTTATGAATACGCCTCGTATACACAGAAAGTACGTGCCAATTCGGCGCAGCAAAAGCGGAGAGTCCATCCCCTAAATCTATCTACATCTCAAGGAAGCAAAGGTCGCTTTTGGTCCGCAATTAACCCCATATGCGCCGTCTGGGGACGCTCTACGTAGCCTCACGACCAACCGGCTATCGGGATTCCTAATATGAGGGAGAACCGTGGTTATTTATAATAGTTGCATAAGATTGTTGACATGTGGGCACGATGAACTCGTTGTTGACAGTTTCGGTTTTGACTTGGTTTATGAAGAATTTCATGCATAAAAAGTTATGGTTCTGCTCGAAGAAGAGGCACTTGCTAGTCGAAAGGTCCTAAGGAATGTGAGTCGTTTATCCACTGACCCTTTTCGCGAGTTTCTTAAGCTTCCCAACATTCCTTGGGAGCTCTGGAGTAGTTTGGATGCTTAGATGGTTAAGCGGAGTTCTTCAGTAACTTATCGAGCTGTTGTTTGAGTGTCTGCCCACAAGGAAGCCTCCAGTTCGTTGTCATCAACAGTAACAAACATCCACGATCTTCATCATCCTAGACGATTTCGCCATGGCGAAATATTCGAGAGCAACGTCGTGCTGTGCAATCGCAAACATTAATTTAGCCCATATCTCAGTTTTATTAGTTGGTAGGTAAAATGAAGATCTTCGAGTAATTCTTCGACATCAGATGTTTACTATCTGGAAGTAGAATGCTGGACATTGTGCGAATTCTTCGCATTCTTGTTGAGCAAACGCGACGTGTTATTTCATTCTTTGTTCACGAACAAGCGGAAGTTTCGACGGATTTCGCCTTTCTCTGAGCCTGGAAAGGTCAAGTTGACCGCAATCTACCCAACCAAACACTTTTATAGCAGTTATATTATGTTAACTGTTTGGTTGTAGTTAACATAACCGTTATTTTATGCTAACTCTTTGGTTATGGACGTGTTTGGCTGGGTAAATTGCGATCAAATAGGCCGTTCCAGGTTCAGAGAAAGGCGAAATCCGCAAAAACGTTAGCTTGTTCTCGAATGAAAAATAAAATAACACATTTTTGCTTAACGACAAGAATTATTTGATTAATGCCGAAGTTAATAAAATGTCGGTCACCCTAATTAGTTTCCCTCAGCACTCGCTCAGTTTCCCTTAGCTCATTCGCTTAGTTCGCTCAGCTGGTATTCCTTACCCTTCTGCTTATCGTCAGGTTGTTAATATTGTATTCCTACTATTTCCATAAACGTTGATAACCCAGACATGAAATTATGTTTTGTGGCAATGTCAAATTGTCCCAATTCGCACGATGGGAAACAATTCGCACGATCCCACGACCGATTTTTTTACCCTCGGCATTGATCAAGTAATTTTTCGCATTCTTATTGAGCAAACACGAGGTGTTATTTTATTCTTTATTCACGAACAAGCTGACGTTTCGGCGGATTTCGCCTTCCTCAGAGCCAGGAAAGCTCGAGTTGAAAGCAATCTATTCGGCCAAACACCTCCATAACCAAGCAGAGAAAACGCTAAATCAAGATTTCAATCAGACTAAACACAAAACAGCTTCTTTGCACACTCACCGCTTTCTATGAGGCCTCCACTGAGTATGTCGCGTGAAGACCAATCGCACAGAATTCACATGGAAGCGTAATGTGCCCTTCCCATCAGGATAACAGGCTTATATACGGCCCAATATCACATGTGACAATGAGGCGTTTCTCCCTGCAGTTCATTTTCCGATTTCTGGGATTAATCCAGAACGCCTCGAGAGTTTTACGCGCTGATGTTTTCGATTCGTGCGTGAGGATAGTGACTCCTTGTTCTAAATCTTCTCCGTTGTGTTCCAGCATCCTATGTGCGCCTAGTGTAGTGTTTGGTTTTAATTTAGATTTACCGACCAGGTGTTCTTTTATGCGGATGCAGAGCTGTCTACCTGTTTCGCCAATGTGTTCACCTCCGCACGCCTTACAGGAGATCAGACAAGCTGTACCCGAGCTCACGCAATCACCGTCTCTACCAGTAGGGCAAATTAAGCAATCTTCCGTTGCACATAGACGGCCATACAGGCGGTTGCGAACTAAATGGCTTTTTAGAGTGCTCGGTGGTGTTTCGATTATTCTTCTGTTATTCCGATTCTATTCTTCTTCTTCTTATTCGATTATTATTTCGTTTATCACTTTCGTTAATAATAGTTTGTTTATCAACGGCTAATCCACCATACAGCAGTCAGCATTTTAAGCTAGCACATGACGAATAGCGAAACAGTAATTTTGTTGGTGACTACGGCTCATTTGAGATGCTCAACTGAGGAAGATCCGGCTCGATACGAGACGAAGACGCCACATCGAGAAGAGGAACAACTGTTGACCATCGACAAGGATCGTCGGCTCTGCTGAAGACGATGACAGCAACAACGATGCTGAGATATTTGCAAAACTCCGGACCGCAGGTGTCCACGGTGGAGAACGAACGCGGAACCGTTGACGGGTGATTACTGTGGCACTGATCGATAGAACCAGCTGAGAGACAGGCGAAACGAAGGAACCGCATGGTGTGGTGGTGAACGGGTTAGCCCTCGGAAAGGGTAATAGCGCTGTCGTACCCACTGCATACACCTGCGGTCTGGAGTTTTTCAAATATCCCAGCATCATTGTGGCTGTATTTCGCATAATACCCTGCCGTAAAAAATGCAGTAGGAAGAAAATAAAAAGCAAACATTGAATACAAAAACGTCGAAACGTTAGCCGAATAAACATCTCATTTCAACCTCATGTAAGCTCAACAATATAAACAAGAGCTGCTGAAGACTGCTATCGAATTCTTACTGCAATTCCCATTGGATTAAGCAAGTATTTATTCGAGGCATATCGGCAGTTATAGGCCCATACCTCAAGAATAAAAAAAGAGCTTGGTGTTAATTTTTAGGAAGTTCAAACGGTTATCGTTTGCCTTTTTATTGATTTGAAAGTAGGGAATCTCTGCAAGATTAGTTTTACCACATACATTTTTCTTCATTTTTTCAGATAACATTCAGTTACAAATACTCCGTAGAAGCTTTTTTTCTCTTGCGGTCGACTTCATTTGGAAATCTAATTACAATGAGTACGCTTCCATGGAAGAAAACCTGTAATGTAGACAGAGGTCGTTGAGCGGGTAGTCGACTCTTGTTGGCTTCGTTGATGGCTCTTGTCAAGGTCATTGGGCTTTTCTGGAGTTTCGATCAAAGAGCGTTTTTCGTCTAATTGACCGCCTTTTTTGCACATCCCACCAGATCCGCAGTTGTCATAGTCAGAGTACATCTCTTTGAGCTTTCAATCATTTGTCCATTCTCGAATTCCACCCCGCCATCGTGTCTGTACCCACTCGGAGACATAGAGATAGACTATTTAATCCGAAATTTTTTTTGGATATCATTTTCATTTTGCTGGGATTTGCCTTAGCTCACTATATTTTTACCGTAAGTAGTTCACCTGACTTCTCTAATCCCTACTTGGATACTTGAACGGCCCGTCCTCACTAGTTGTGCAGGCCCAGCATAATCTCCATTTTTTGAATTTTTTTGGTTTAGGCACTATGTTTCCTTAAAGTCCCGAGGTCAACCTGGCCAAAGTCTGCCCAGATCGTCACCACCACAGGCTGTCATCGCTCTTGCGGAACAAAAGCAGATTTGCCACTGTGCAACTGGTTTGGTACCAGGGCGGTAGTGGATCCAGGTATTAATTTGTTTTTAGCTGGGCTTCCTGATGCTTCTCAGCTTGGTAGACCTTGCGAGAGGATGAATCACTCCGCTGTAAATCGCAACCCTGCAACCAGGAACATCTCCCAGCCACGATGGACGGTAAACCGTTAGGTGAAGAACTAGAAATAGTTATAAGAAACTGGCAAATCACCAGAACCGACAAAGAAATGATGAATTTTGGTGACATGGGCACGTTTTTGACTAGAGAGAACAACCAAGTAGTTAGGAAAAAAACCAAGTATGGATGACTATATGTTGGCACATAGATTACCATGTAGATTCTCATCTTTCTGTATCTGTTATTGAAGCGTTTAGCGTAATAAACTCATATCAGCATACCCATATACCCTTCCAGGCTCTGAAGAATGCAATGCTGCGGAGGCATCAGTTACTGTTTTATTGTATGTGTTTTTGTACGAAAGCAAACGTGTGCTGCATAGCAACCTTGCTATTGCTGAAAAAGAAAACAACGCACTGTTAACCAGAGTCGAGCGCGCAAAACTATCGAGGCGTTCTGAATTAATTCCAGAAATCTGAGAATGAACCGCAGGGGAAAATGCCTCATTATCACGCGTGATATTGGGCAGTATATAAACCTGTTATTCTGATGGGAGAGGCACATTACGCTTCCATGTGAACTCTGTGCGGTTGGTCTCAACGCGATATACCCAGTGGAAGACTCATAGAAAGCAGTGTGTGCAAAGAAGCTATTCTGTGTTCAATGTGATTGAAATCACTTAATTTAACGCTTTTTTGCTTGGCTATGGAGGTGTTTGGCCGAATAGATTGCTGTCAACTTGACCTTTTCAGGCTCAGAGAAGGGCGAAATCCGTCGAAACGTCAGCTTGTTCGTGAATAAAAAATAGAATAACACCTCGCGTTTGGTCAACAAGAAAATAGGAAGCTAATGGGGATGACTCATAACGTTCTCTACATTCCTTTTACAATGGGTGGAGGTTTACAGAACAAATTAGAGTTAATGATCATATTAAGGCTCTACTAGGCCTCGGGGTCTGCATAGTCTGAAAGAGTTGTTTCTAAGGGAAGTTCGTGAAGGCTATTAACAGCTTATATAAGAAAAACTTGTTAAAGCGGTGGAATAGCTTGTACAATGTGTTTATGTGAAAGCAGTGCAAAGGCTTATACAAAAATGTTTACGCGAAAAAGATGGAACAGTTTGTTCAAGTTGTTTATGTGAAGGCGATACAAAACTTGCAAGAGAACGATAAATGTGGTTAGCAGTAGGTGTATATGAACGATAAAGTGTTCAGCGCTGATCAATCCCTGAAAGATGTGCTATGCACTGGACTTTTTTCAGAATTGTTGGAGGGATTGAATGCATATCTGGCCTTTACAACGACTCGCGGTGACCTGTCGATGTGTCGAGTCAGTACTGCTACCCTCCTAGACAAGTCTGGTATCAATTTGCCGACCTGGGAAGGATAGAAGGCTTGGTAGACTTGGTGTGCGGGGATCAATCCCATGTAGATTGCAGGGCGCCTCCCACTGCACTACACCCGTTCCTAGTAGGCATAGTTAATATAGAAAATAAAAACTGTTTATTTATTTACATGATCTTATAGGCTGATCTTTTTGAGCTAATGTGAGGTTGGTATAGGTCTTCGTTATCGTTGTTGCTGTTGTTGTTGTTTGTCGTTGCTGTTGGTGTTGTTGGTCGATGGCTGACGCTTCAGCGATTTCGCTTTTCTCAGAGCTCAAACGTATTTTATGTAGCGGTAACCTTATATTTGGTGAAATAATTATAGTATTAATGAAGACCAAACTTTCAAATAGACGCCATATTGAACAGAAAAGTCACTCACCGTGATGTTACGTGCGGGAATGGCCCACGCGTTGTTTTCGTGGAGTCGCGAGCAAGATACACCCCGGGGTCAAAATATCATTTTGAAATAGGGCGCCAGGTCACGCGTTATAGTGAAGCATTCGCCTTTCCGGTTCATCTTTGTTTTTGAAATTTATGCAAAACTCCTCGAGAGTTTTGCACGTTGATGTTTTCGATTCCTGCGCTAGGATCTGGGCAGACGCTTTAAAATCATCGCCATCTTTGTTCTCCATGTGTACCTAGAAGAGCACTTTGACGCATTTTGACTTTTCCCTCTAGGTGTTCTTTTGCGCTGACACAAAGCGGTCAACCCGTGAACTGCGCTCCTCACGTGGGCCAGACCCACTCGTAACAGCACGGTGACTAGCCTTTTTGATCAACATGACGTCTGCTTAAAAGTTTGACCTTCATTAATGCTTTAGTTTTTTTTCCACCGAATGATTGAAGTGTTCTTCTATAAAATACGTCCATGCTCTGAGGAAGGCGAAATCACCGAAACGTCAGCTTGTACGTAAATAAAGAAATAAAATAACACCTCGTGTTTGCTAAACAGAAGTAGAAAAAGTTATAGAATAAAGAGTTTCTCACGGTTTTCCTGATCTTCGAAGGGTTTGATTTGTGCTTCTGTGCTGCTGGGACGGCTCGTTGATATAGGAATACCAAGTAGTTAGGAAGATTCGGTCGGAATTAGTTGCTCGCCTTTGTCTGTGCTAGCCTGTCTGGACAGCTATAACCTGGGTAATTAGACTGTTTATCATAATTATACAACAGTTATGACGTAACAATAAACTGTGCAATTAATACGACAATGGTACAGGTAATGAAGAAGAGCAGCCTGATCACTGCTGTTCTTTCGCTTATGAGTGGAAAGGTTGTCATATGAATTCTACTATATGACGTGGATGTGAGGAAAGGGCATGGTAACTTACACAGCGTTGCTGTGAACTAAGCGAGCTAGCTGGGGAGCCGTTTATATACCTTCTGTGCTGGGCGGAGTCAGGCTACAGTAGACGGTTTGCCACTAAGGGGTGTCGGAAACATTTCTCAAGCATTGAAATCTGATCAGGCGATAGTCAAAGCACAGGACTGCATTTGCAGATATTTTTCATGAGATAACTGCCTACGAAACGTTAGACATAAGGTTATCAGATCGTCATAGGAATGAGGTCACCAGAAACAGTATTCGAAATGTTTTACAAAGAGAACATTCCAATGTTCTTGTAAATATTCTCTGTATGTGGTACTGTATAACAGGTTGTACAACATGTGACGGGCGAGGGCTTGTTTATCATCGTACTTTTCTTTTAAGTGCTCTACCGCTATCGGATAAATTCTATGGTACATCAGGTATTGTTTGATGCATTCTTTTGCTTTCCCTTAACGTCATCTAACAGATGGGATACTTTCAAAATTTTTTTAAACATTGTTCATATGGCGCGAGTGCACATTATGATCGAGGGTACCCTAAAAAGCTTCCCACTCATATCTCCCATGAACTCATGAATAAGGATGGCTGGCAAATTCTTTGCTACTGCAAGAGCGATGTATGAATCATTCTTATTACTGCTTTTCTTGCTTTCCAGTTTATTCTCAGGTTAAGAAGCGTAGAGCGGTAGTCTTCTTCCTCTTTAAGGTGCTCCAGTAATCAATCTAAGTTCAGTTTTCTACCTTGCATTCGCTCGTCTGGTACTATGGTTTGCAGCTTCCTGCAGCTGCTGTATAATTGTTCATTTCTTCCTGGACATCGTTTGTTTTATAGTGCCATTTCGTGTGGAGATTTCTTCCATTTATCGAGATTCGTCATGGAAGACGTCTACTGAAGCGTTTACTCACTTTCATGCATGTTTAATAAAGATTTGACGTGCTTAATCGCCTCCATTAGTGCGCCCATACGTGAGCACAAGGTGTTAGACATTGTTCTTTTTTCTATATTACGAATGAATGTGCTTCCACGCAGGTTTCTCGTTT